GAAAAGTATTTCAAGAACCTATCATATTTTCATCTCATTAATGATGTGTAAGAGATTCTTATTCCTCATTAATGCCATCTAGAGAAGAATTATGTGTAGTTTTCTTGGTGTGCTTTAACAAAAAAAAGTTTTCTTTGCTAATGCTTTCATTAAAAAAGTTTTGTAATTTCCCCCCCATTGGTCCCTTTTTTTTTTCCTTTGCATTTTTTATCCCCTTATCCGCGCGTGCGCGTGTGTGTATTATATTTTGATATTTTTGAAAAATGCAACATCAACAATAATTCCATGAGAAAAATAAACAATGATTTTGAAATGGATGCGTTAATATCTGAACATGTTGAAAACAGATTTTTGAATTTTGAATTCTTTTGGAAAGACGTTAAAAATGTTGAAAATGATACAAATATGTCAAAAATATATTTTTTGGATATTTTGTTTTGTTATTTTTTTATTTTTTTAAAACTATTAATAAAATGAGGTCAAAATAGGGTTATGACACCCATCCCAAGGTCTAGCCATACCATCAAATCTTTCTATCATGTATTTTTCCCTCCATTTCTTTGCATGAACAGGTTTTCCTTCTTTCATAAGCTCTTTTGGTCTATTGAAAAAAAGGTGAAGAACTAGGGAATGAAAGGCCTTCCTTCAGCATTGCTGGTTAGCGAATAGTAGTTTCTAAAAACCATAATAGTTGGTTCCTCCTTGAAGATTCTCATCAACTTGTCATATTCAAACAAGGCAATCTACTCATTAGGGTGGAGCTAAGCAAAACTCAGGTTGAAGTAACAAAAAAAAATCCCTTAAAATCATTCTAAAAGAAACAAGTATCCAAACTCGTACATACATATAGGTGCAATAATGATAATATTGTCTTTGAAAGTTTGCTGTTGACCTGACCATTAGTCTCAAGCAACAGGATCACATAGCCCCCTGTTTATTTAGCATTAAATAAGGTCACTTATTTATATGACACTGTACTATCTGCCTCATCTAGAGGCATCCTAAGTAATCTTAGTTGTCCACTAAGATTTGAAGTCTTTTAAGGAACAATCTCATTCTTTTTTTCTAGTGGAAGAGGGTTGAGTAACACTGTTTTTAAATCTAAGACCTATTCTAATGACTGTAGATCCTTGATGAGTACTTATAGTTTTAGGCCTCAAACTAAAATCTACCTCATGAGACATGGTTTTCTTGCCTTATCCAGAAATTATTCTTAAGAAAATTTAAAACAAAAAAGAAGAGGTGAAGTGTGATTTCTATGTTTATTTAGAAGAAGACAATTCTTATGCATGAAATGAAGAAACTTGATCCCCCTGTAAGACTCCTAGTATAGAAAATATAGAGATAAATTTTGGCAATAATAAAAAATAAAATTGAAAATGAATAAAGTTTATATAGGTCATCGCTTTATATTTTCAATGGATGATGAACACATGGCATCATATTATGACCTTAGAAAGGCTTAATGTCTACTGTATTGATTACACACAGCCAAATTGTTTTCTCAAAAAGATTATTTTGCCTCTATCCAACAACATTTCAAATGCCACCTTTTTAGAGAAGACAAGACAAACCTGATCAGTTGCCTCCTAAAAGACTTTTCAAGTCTTTATGCGTCTAATACATAAGGACTTGAGGGAAATTGATAAGTCAGAATTTTTGACTCAATATTTTTCTATTTTAAAAGAGCCTAAACTCAACATACTTAGGTCTAACCAAGAGCTAAGTCTAGACATTATGAGTTTGACAACTTACTAGATCCCATATATTTGAATTCAACTATGAGCTGAGCTTAGGACATTGTAGGTCTGATAAGTTATCAAACTCAATATATTTGAGTTTAACTATAAACCTAATGAATTGCTAGACATATCTCCCTTAGGTTTGGCTATGTGCCAAACCCAGTTGGTCTTAGAGATCCATGTTAGGACCATAACATTCTATCTAAAAATTATTTGCATGACATATTCATTCCAGAAATAATTATTTCTCTATACCTATAGGTGTATAAAAAGTTAGAAATAATCATTTCCTTATACTTGTAGGTGTATGAAAGGTCTCCCAATGGCCTACTATATTTTCATCTCATTAATAATATATAAATGATTTTTAACTCTCATTAATGTCATCTAGAGAAAATGACTCTCCAATCTCTCCACTCCATCAAAACAACAAAATTCAGGAAATATAAATATCACCTGAATCACTTGGGTCAAAAGTTTACAATTTTTACACTCATAACTTAACTCATAGGGCATTTATCATACCAAAAACAAGAACAAATATTCTTCTTTTTAAAATTTAAAGCTTTTATTTATTTATTTATTTATTTATTATGTTCCTCATATTTAAAAATCATTAACTTTGTTATTGAAGAGTATCTAAACTCGTAAGAATTATTTTGCCAATATTATGAGTTCTATTGACAATCACATGCTTCTTGGGCTATAGAAAAAGAAATATTAATATGAAGATATAATTAACTACTATTTAAATACAAAATAACCTCTGAGTATATAAAATTTTGGGACATCATCAGAAGTGTTCCAGGAGCATACCTGTCCCTTTTTTTCAGTTTTCTTTCAACTAGAAGGATACATATATACCTGTCTGTAGTACACATCATGGCAATTTGTTATATTTTGTAGTCCTGCATTGGGTTTTCTGCTCCTTAGGACAAGCTAGAACACTTCAAAGACAACACTACTCAGGATATTATTTGTTCCCAGGTCCAAAATAGATAATGCAAATATAATATATGTTGTAAGCTAGTATTTTCTTCCATAGAGCATTAGAGAAATTTACCTGAAAGAGTGATTTTTTTAATCAAGGAAATGGTAATTTGACATTTAAAAAAGATGCTGCTGTGTACAATGTGAAAATTGATTTGACACGCTGAAGAAATAACCCTCTTGAAAGGTAAGGAGGAGAGACAAATTATGATTATGATGGAATTCGTTCTTTAATGTTGGCTTCTGCAACTTTAAATTTGACTGTGGTCTTTTCAACATCCACAATCAAAATTTTCCAGGTATTAATTTCACTTCCAATGTGCTTATTTTCAAGTATTTTTCCTAGGATTTTTTTTTCTTGCAAGACTAAAGATGAGTATGAATCTGAAGATTATTCATGGTCTGCATTCTATAAGTGTAGCACAGGACAGTAGAACTCTTATAATTTTGTTTGCAATTTTTTCTTTACAATCTTTTGTTTTCATAAATTAGAGGCTGGAAGCTAATCAATGACTGGTGTTTCAAAATCTTTCGATGTTGCCTGTTGTAATATCATTCTTGGATTACACTTTTGAACTAAGCCATGTTTTGTCAGAATAGAGATAAAAAAAGCTGACGAAGAATTCTATACGTGATCATCACATCAGTCTTTTTTGTGAAGATAGGAATGTGAGGGTGTATGCTAAGAAACCCGAGCTGGCTTGTAACAAACATTACGATGTTTTTAAATCATTAATTTATTTTGCATTTGCTGTCTTCTGATAAATCAATGCATGGACATCATCATACAGGTGAAAACAGTTTCTGAGGCTTTTGAAAATTTTCAGCTGAAGACATATGGAATGAAAGCACATGACATGCAACTCCTGATAGGAAAAGGAATCGCCAGAGGTTAGAAGAGCTGTACTGAGAAGAATCAACCAAGGCTGTTGTGATTGCTGCTGTAGCGTCCTTCTCCACTGTGCTTTTATTATTTTGGAACTTGTACGTACTTTTTCCAAATGGAAAAAAGGAAACTAGCACAGAAACAAACACGCATGATAGAGAGTTTCATTAGCAAGTGTATAAATTCACATTGCTTGCCTCCCTATATCTGTATTTACTTTGATACTCCTGCACAATATGTGAATATTCTATCATACTCTGACCTGTTGGTGGTTGATGATGATGGTGGTGATTTCCACTAATGAAATATTTTTTACATTTCAATAATTTGGAATAGGTTTTTTCTTGTCATTTTTTTAACATTGATTTTAGTTTCCATTAGGGTGTTTATATATATATATATATAATTTTTTTTACCTGGTGATTGTATTTTCTGAAAGCAAGCAACGAAGGCATCGCAAAGTTAATTAAGAACTTGCAGCTGGCTAGGTAACTTGACGAGATGCAGAGGATACTTAAGCAGGTTACATCTGAGTTTTGGTTTTAGTGGAAATTCTCTGGTTCTTTAGATGATAGTCTTAGAGCTATTCTTATGAATTTGCATATGCTTCAAGGGTTCGTGGGCAAGTTGCTGATGTAAAACATTTTATTGATTGGTCTCTGAAATTGTCTATGACATGAACTTTTCCTTTCACATTTGACGCAGGCCACAAAATTCAGTTGCAGATTGCTCGGAAGAAAACTTTGGGCTGGCGTTTTTGTTTTGAATTTGTGGCTTGGCAATCCTGTTGATTGATGGACTTGTCTCCCTTCCTAAGTGTAGATTAGAGTTCCATGTAGTTGCAGATATATTGCACTTTGGCTTTGGGATATGCCTTATTCATATGCAGGCATTAGCGAAGATAACCATGCATGCGTCTGTCCGGCCGGCCTTGTGATATTAAACATGTGCCGTCATCCTCTCCTGCATAGCTCGAGGCATGAATCTCGACATCCAAAGTCAGGCGCGACAATCTCTCCCAGAACGTGAAAAGTTTCGTGCCATTTATTCAGGCGGACCTGGCATAACCTGACATTTTGTTACAGTTTAGCTACTACTACAGAATCAGTAATCTCTAGCATTTGATTATTGCCTAAAGGTATGTCCTTCAGTTTTACATCTTGGAGCATGAATTCAGGTAGTAAATTAAAAACAAATCATCAAATCCACCCCAGCAGGCTACGACAGCATCTATTCCCTACTCCACTCATCACATTCAACTCAGACTCTTGGAGCATGAATTCAGGTAGTAAATTAAAACCGAATCATCCAATCCACCCCAGCAGGCTACAACAGCATCATCTATTCCCTACTCCATCACATTCAACTCAAGATTGAAGTGGTTGCGCATTGAAACTAAAACCTGCATTTCCATCAAGCTCAAAAGCCCATATCATTGTATTCTTTTCTAATTTCATATTGTTTGCATGCAAGGCAATGCATTGGCATCCAGTGGCGTTTAACTAATTACAAGTCTAAAAAGGCAAACAAAACAAAAAGAGCCGCAAAGGATGTTAGGCGGACACTGCACCACCATCAAAAAGAAGGCAGCACCATTCAAATCCCTTCTCCTTCTGTACATTTGGTAAATCAATTAAACAGGGATACAAACTGGTAACTGATCAGTGGTAAACAACCAAGACACGTTACCTATTTCACTTTCTTTGAACCAAATTACCCCGGCTATACACGAACATCTTTTGCATGCGTAATGTAGCATTCAAAAAGCAAACCATGGGTGGATAAACCACCCAATCTTGAAAAACAGCATCATATGAACCCCAAATTTAGGGAGGATCCCCACCTGAAGATGAAGAAGATTCTGAAATATGACCGCTCTTAAACGCATTTTGGAACTCATCCATAAGTATAGTCCTGATTTTCTTTCTTAAATCAGAGGCTTCTTCAGGTCTGAACCACTTCTTGCCAAACTGAATCGTAACAAATATTGAATCAAGGAGTTAAAACTACATTGTTGAAATTATTCATTCAAGTCTGGGTTGGGAGGAATTACCATTGCCAGATCTCTCTTTTTCAGCCTCTCAGGAGCCTCTTGAATGAAGCGCTCCATGAAGAAAAGTACAAAGAGGCCACAATCATAGTCATTTTTCTGCTGGGGCACCTGGTAGGAAATTTAGTAATGGGATGTAGTGAGGTGAAGTTCAAACCAACCATTAAAGAATTGAGAGAAGGAAAAATGTGTCAACTTCATTAATGGAGCTCCAAATTCACACATTCAATTGAATAAAAAGAAGAAGAAAAAACTACCACATATCCGTGAGACAATTGAGGAGTAAAAGGCCAACAATTTTCGGGAACTAAATCACCAATCACCCACCCACGCCAAGCAGGTAAAAGTTCATAGATGTTTTACATTTTTTCAAGAAGAAAATCATTGTATGGAAAGAATGTAAAACCATTGGAGAAACAGTAAATACAGTTCTCCAACAACACCAACCTCAGCCAAAAACACTTTTTATAAAACAACTTTTTTCAAACCACAACCACAACAGCTACAACAATACCAAACACATCTGATAGCTAAGCAGACGCCACCCCAAGATCTTGGAGCAAAACATCATAACAATGCAAGAAAAAATTTCTACTCAGCAATATTTGTCTCAATGGTTGATGATATCAAAATTCCAGATATTCCTGTTCTGTCCAAATGCATGCGAAACATTGCACAACATCAGACTTCAAAGATTCTTACAATCCTTTCTACATAGAAACAAAGCCTGTCCCACTCCACAGAACAATGTTGAAAAAGATAGGTACGACTTTTCATCACCAATAACATTTGAAGGACATAAGGGAAAAAAAGCTTCCCTAGACGTCCTAATTAAATCATTAGGGTTAATAAGGACTATAGTCAAAACAAACGCCTCAACTTTGAAAATCATCCTAGCTTTCCAAACGTGATTAGCAAGAGAGAACAAAAACACACATGATCCAGGTTGGTATAGGCGTCAAGGAAAGATTTGCACAAAAACAAAATCCACAACCTTCAGAAACCACACTCTACAATCAAGCCTAGCAGAGAAGATACAGATGTTAAGGATATAGGCTGTTTGGAACCCTTGGAATTGAATTCAATTCCAAAGGTTAAATCAATTTCTGTATTTGAAACCCTTATGAGGGCACTAGAATTCAAATCATAAGAAAAAGGCAAAAGCAAATCAGAGGGGAGAATAATATTCATCAACAATGAAAATAACATTCCAAAAATATTCATCTACACCTATTTCTTCAAATGATTTGCTACCCTCCTCTTCTTTTGTTATGTTCTCTTGATAGATTATTATGAGAACTAATGTGTTTGTTGTGGTCCTTGTGGGCGCTAATCATATGGTAACTGAATAGATAATTTGTTTTTTGTTTTAAATAGCGATGTCATTCAAATTAAATAATAATAAAGTACAAATCAATTATTATTCTCTAATTAAATTATGACTTCCAGATTTAGAAAAATTCTTGACAATATCAACAATATAATTTAATTTAGTCTCTTAAATAACAATTCGTCCTTTTAATGATACAAATAACAAAGAAAACTCTTTGAAAAACTTAATTTAGCTTTCTTTTATGGAAACATGTTGTGTTTTATGCACACAACAAGCGAATGGGTCATGCTATTAGGCTCGTTGATCTAAGAATTAAAAAATGTTGATCACTGTTAATTAATCTCTTCTATATAGCTCAAAACAATCACCAAACTTTTACTAAAAAGAAGAAAAACCATGATGAGAAACAATAATAAATAGTCGATAAACAATTATATAAATCTAAATACAAGATATAAATTTATCGATAAAAATATAAAATAACAGAATTAAGGGCAAAATAAATATAAGTCTTTGTAACATTTTTTTTTTTAATTCAAAGCAAAATTATCAAGATTGTTAATTCAATTCATTTCCATGTGTATTCCAAACAGTATAATTGAATTCAATTATGTGATTTAGTATTTTATTCCAAACATAACAATTGTAATAGATTATCAATTGAATTCAAATTGCATGTGGAATTGAATTCAATTCCACATGTGATTTGGTTCCAAACAAGTTGTATATGCAGCCAAAGGTCTTGAGGTTCTCTCATTAAGATTCAAAGAAAAAGAAAGATCCAATTAACATTACCCCCTCCATTATGCAAGCTGGGGAGACTGTACAAATGGGAAAAAGTTTTAAGGAATACCCATGGTCATATTAAGGCATAAATACCATTCAAGAGAAATGACCATGACATGACACAACACAACACTTGGGGCATTTTCTATATAAACTCACCGCAATGATTTTGTCCTCAATTCTACGATCTAGATGTTTCCATATTCTATCTGGAATTGGAAAATCTGTAGGAACAACTTCTTGATTCATATACCTCCATTCTTCTTTCAAATAACTGCAGCACACAAGCAACACCATTCATTAGGATTTGAATTTACAGCATTCTAACAAGGCATTACAACGAAGCTTTAATTTATAGTTCTCTCCCATTATCGTAATAGTTCCCAATGCTTCTCACATGCTCAACCTTTGAACATAGAAAAATGAAGTAATTCCCACTATAATTTTCTGCAGCTACAGTTCAAAGGTACTTCTTTCTCAATAATGATTATCAAAAAGAATTTTAAGTTCACAACAACACTATTAGTCCCTTTCCTGAACAAACCCAATAAAAAAGGCATTCATAGGGACAAGGTACAAACTGTTACATGACTTCAGCAAGAGGTTAGTTATGAAAACAACTCTACTGCTCGGAAGGACTTTCCTATCTCACCTTTTAATGTTAGAAAATACTGTACTGCTACGATGAAATCCCAATGAATCTAAATGAAGAATAATTGGTCCTGATTCATCTTTCTTATCCGGGAAACATATAATCACCAAGCTCCAATGAAGACTGGATACATGAAAGACAACAAAAATATGTGAAACAGGTGAGACATGATTTTTACCAGATGAGACAAAAGGCAGGGAGAAGATGGCATCTCTTTGGTTGGGCACTAGGCACCAACCACTGACATGAGACAGCACTATAATAATACTGAACACTGGTACATACTTTTTGCTGTTATTTCATAATAAAAGACACTGATACACATTTCACATGAGCAAGCATGTTCACAAATATGCATGGGTACAGTGCATACAAAGATCAGCCATTATCTAGTCCAGTGGCAGCGATACAGGTTATCAATCATAAGAGCAATAGGTTCGAGTCTGCAAAGTGGCAACTTCATATGAAAATGGCACAACATAAAAGAAAAAAAAATGTTCATAACCTGTTTATCCTGCCTGGATCCTCCTATGCTGGAGGGAGAGGCATCGCTGGCTAATGACCTTAAACAAATGCATTCAGTCTCAACTACTCATGTATAAGATGACTCCTATTGTGCCAATATCCAATTCCTTTTCTAGTCAACATTTATCCATATTTTCTTTTGTTGTTTTTTGTTTTGGTTGAAGGAGCAAACCATCCCAATAAAAAGGTGGCCAGTGTTCATCGCCAGATTATTCCAATCTATCATTTTAGAATGTTACACATCAAACCAATAAAGATAGAAATAAAATAGTCCGTTCTTTTTTACTATCTCTGAACAGGCATAATAGCCAAAAAAACAAATTGAGAACTTCTCTAAGTTCCAAAGCCTCATGTATCATCAAGCCCATTAAACTCGATTAAGAAAATGTTAAATTATACAGGATACCTAACATTAGATTTCCCAAGGATAAAATAACTACCATCAAATGGGGTGGATATTGGTGCCTTTTCTTATCTTCCTTCTTCATTGTTCTTTTATATTTCCTAACAATACAATTACTACCATCATACGGGGTGGATATTGGTGCCTTTTTGTCTTCCTTCATTTTTGTGTGGTGGTTCGTTTTCTTTTCTTCCTTTTTTTCTTTATCCTTTATGGTCTTTCAAAGTTCTCAACTTGGCATAAATGCCTTCCCTTTCAGCCAACTTAACGAAATAATACTATGGCATAACATAACAAAAATACCAAATAAATGCATTACAAAACCATATTCTAATAGATATAATGGAAAAGATGCTGATTCATCTAGGCACTCTTTTAAGCACCTCTAGACCTGGCCTTAAAGGCATTTTGGCGTGGTGCCTTGCACCTAACACCCAAGGGGGCCCTAACAGCATTAATTAAAGAATTTTAAATCCTTCAACTGGATGGTCAAGCAACTATAGTCCCATGGGTTTAGATTAATGGATGCAGTTGTGGTGCATATCTCAGGTTTGAATCCTTGCCTGAATAGTTTGAATTTACCAGTGTGGGAATGAGGAGCTTCTCCACTCACATGGAGTTCTCTAGTAACCGCAAGAAACCCTCTCATAAAAAGCCAGTTAACTACTGACTAGACTAATTTCAATCTTACAAATAAGAAAAAAAATATGAGCAATAATCTAGCAATCACAGCCTGCATTTCTCCTTATAAGCAGCAATATACAATCAGAAATAAGGGAAGAGTTGAGAAAGCAGTTAAAATTAACATAGATAACTTACTCATCGTGTATGGGAATAAGTATGTAAGCCTTTTCAAATATATTGACACCTTTCCACCACCTTCTGAACTTGACAAAAAATGATTCCTTGTCACTCCCCTGCATAAAAAAGGGAAGATGAGTTATGAATGAGTGAATGGAGACGGTGCAGGCATAATTGTGCATTCAACTATAAAACATTTCGAAGCAAAAACTTCAAGAAATTACCAAATATAACCAACGTTTTCAAGGAATTTTTTTATTTTAAGAAAACAAGGTGTTTTTAATCAAGTCAATTCTTAAACCACCACCACTAAAACAATATTGAATTCCCGCGTCACACATGTAGGTATTTATTTTAATTCCTGATTTTTCTCAAGATAAAAATCATGGGAAAAATCTTACACTAATAAAGCTGAGCTGACTCGGTCAAGATCCATCAAATCATTTTCAAATTACTTTCACATAAAAATTGCAAAGTTTAATATAAAAGCAATGACATTGCCAATATTTTTTACAGGTACTTAGCTCTTCTAGTTCAGGCATTCAAAATCTCTAGTAAAAAATAGCTTTCAAATGTCAGATCTATGAATGTATGTTCTGATGAATTAAATAATGTCACTTAAAAAAGACAAGAAAGCTGGCATATTTCCTTCTTTTATTAGTTAAACACCAACCAAGAAAACTACCTTATATGATATGGCCTGTTCCAGCTTCTTGTAAAAGAATGTGTTAAAAAAGTGATAATCACATGTCGCCTTATTTGCTGGAGATGCTTGCAGACGTATATATCTAAACAAGAAAAGCAGTAAATAACTAAAAAGAGAAATTTAAGACTGTCACTTAAAATCTGCAAAGAAAAACCTAGAACATCCCCAAAAATAGGGCATTCTGAGCATATACACAACAAGATTTGGAAAAAGCATTACATTTTCAAATTACAAAAAAGAAGTGTAAGGAATGAATGCTAGTATTTCTACCACTCTATTACACTAATAATAGCCAATAGTATCTCATGTTTCAAAATTTAATAATTTATTCTTCAAATAGAAAACTCTCCTTCAATGTATAATGAACTGAAAATCATTCCTGTTAAGAAATAATATGCAACTCCAGATACAAGATACAAACACCCGCTTTAGGAATGCAGTTCCAGTCTCTTTAACCTCATGGTACCCAGTTTAGGCAACAAATAGGCAGACAAGCTTGCAAGGTGGTCAGGCACAAACTCATATGAAGACTCATGAGAAAAATAATCCACCCAATCCCCAACTTTGGAGATCAGTAAAAGAACAAGCTGAAGTCAAGGACCTATAACACTGAGCTTACTGCTTGCCAACCTGAAAATGTACTTCATAGAATACTCCTAAGGAATTGCTGATTTGCTGGTGAATCCAATGTCCTGCATATAGATGTTTTATGGGGGACTCTCTTCACCCTAGACTGCATCATTTTGCACAAGTTTATCATTGGACTTCTGTCCCATCTACATTGTTTGGACTTTGCAGCACATTGTTTGGTACGTTTGGATCTAGGTGTTGCAACTGTCATGTTTTAAATTTTAGGATAGGAGCTTGACATAAAACGTCCAAATTTTGGAACGGATACACTTAATTCCTATAAATAAGCATCTTCTCCCTTCAGATGTTTTCCAGCTGAAATCTAATAAAAAACTAAACAAGTTACTGATGCAGTGTAAGGCAGACTGGTCCCTTAGGGAACTCATAATTTACAATATTTTGTATCACAAAGGATTTTAATTAGCACACTGTTTTATTTTGTTAGTGGTTTTCTTCCTATTTTGGTTCCAAAGTTATCAGATTTGTGGACATTTGGGTCACTGTGGTAGGAACATGATTCGCACGTGTGCATTCATGATATGTAGGGCAGTTAGTATGCTAATTTGGATAGGGGTACATTTTAGAAACCTTTTTGGGTCATTATTAAATATTAATATTATTAGGCATCTATTATATAAAAATAGCAATATTGGCGAATGAAAGAAAATATTGTTGGTTGAAGATTTTTCAAATAACAGAAAATAAAAAATCTAGTTCCAAATAGAATTAAAAATAGGCCTAAACAGAATTGTACACTAGGCTAAATTTTAACTTAAAAACCTGGCCTACAGGAGGTCCAATTCCAACACTTGGCATTTTATAAAAGTCAATTGCACATTTATTATTATCAGTCTCTTGCCTCTCTTCATCGCATCTCTCTTGGCCTTTTCACCGCATCTCTTCTCTCTTCCTTTCTCTCCTTAAAACAACTGAAAAGCCTTGCTTCTCTCTCTTTTTTTCCTTCCATGTTTAATTTGAAAACGCTAAGAGAATAGTACACCAATTTCAGCAATCCAGGTTGAGTGCCTCCACAACTGATTATTCAATGTACTGAGATCTGCAATCTGAATTGTGGTGCTGGGGGGGGGGTTGGCGCGGTAATTTCTTTGAGATATTGATTCTATGTTTTTGTGGACATCAAGACAAGAACAAGGTTCTTGTAAATTCAAGGGTTTGGTCTATTAATTTTTATGTTCTCTATACATTGCATTCTTTCACTCTCCTCACTAATATGTCAATCTGTATCAAAGACATTATTCAAAAGGAGAAAAAAGACTTATCACATATGGAATCTTTTATTATGTCAAGAAACACGACAAGCTCTGAGGGCTTTGCTCATACACTAATAAAAATAGCCAGTGAGCAGAGTTGGAGGTCATAACTCAGTGTGTGCCAAGTTTGCATTTTCATATTTTTCAGTGAGCCATACTAAGTGGTTGTCAAAGTTTCAAATAAATCCCTAATGACCAACTCCTTTTAAACTGCTCTCCTCAAAACAGCAGTACAGTTGAAACAACTACTCTAAGAAGAAGAAAGAAAACAAATAGATAGCATCAAACGATTCAATCAACAGCCTGAAATGCAGAAAACTCACTCACAAATTTTTCATGAACCCTAGATGTGCAGGGTTTAGGAGAATAATAAATTGAATAAATGCCCCAAATTATAAGATCAAAACTAAACAGTATGCTAGTAGAATTACCTGATGTAAAAGTTCATAATAGGAGATGTCAAAAAAGCTTCAGGGGCGAGGCAATCCATATCCTTGTAAGCAATTTCAACAGATGCTGGATCATCTCTGTGTCCGATAATCAAGAAGTCATCAGAAGATTATGTGTCGTCCCTGTTGCAAACTAATTTAAAATAGTTAAAGTTATCAGAAAAAAAATTGCTGTACCTTGATGGATAAGAGATCTTAGCATCCTTCATGCTACAAGTAACAGAGGGATCAAAATTACCATTAACAGCATAGTCAAAAGTTGAAACATGGGAAAATAGGAAAGAAAAACATTGGGAGTTTCAATTACTGTTCAGCCAATTCTTTTGCTAGCTCTGTTGTCCCTAGCTGAGGTTCATCTTCGTCTAGGACAACAACTGTCGGATCCTGTTTAAATAATGTTATCATGTATCCAATCAGCTGCTGAAGACAAAAATTCTTATTGTAGAACAGTGTAAACAGCGGGTTGCTATTCCATCAGATACACTTGGCTACATTTGAGCATAGCCAAATAAATTTCATGCACCAAAATAACTGGCCATTCTCAATGTCATGTCTCAACTCCCCATTTTCTATTAGCCTTGTATCTTTACTTCTGCTTGATACAGTTCAAAATAAAATTTTCCAGAGTTTTTTAATACAGCTTAAAACTACAGTAGTGAAGAATAAATTAACTAATTTTTGGGATTGTGGAAAGCACCATCAACAAACATGTGCTTGGGCATTCCGCACCCAATTTCAGTGAAACATCAACACTAACACAAACCACCCCTGATCATCAGTGCATGGGTATTTGCCCACATGAGTTATGACTCGATAAGAGAATATTCAAATAACTTTAAATTTTTATAATTTTCATGAGAAGATAGTGATGGTTTAAATACAAATAGAATTGAGTTCTAAAGCAGTTTCTTTATAGTTAAAATCCATTAAAACATATTATTTATGAAAGCTACCAAGATAGAACATAATGGTTACTGTAGCTCCAGCTGCTTTGATTAATCCTAGACCTCAGGTAAAGCTTCTTCAAAACATAAGTAGCTCCACATTCAGGTTCTCAGGCCATATACACAATCCCAGAACTAGGTCCCACTAATCAGATCTACCATTGTAAGATCAAATCTAGGAAATCAACGCAAACAAGCAATTTTAGTGTTCTGCCAAAACCACCAATTAACTTCTAGAAATATCAACAGTAGAATTCAAAGAAATTGCAATTCACACAACTCCATGACTTGCTACATGTTTTTCAATATATATATATATATATATATAAATCTGACTTAAGAGCACCAAAAGGGTGCAAAAAACAAAACAAAACAAAAACGTAGTTTACGAGAAAGAGAATAGACAAAAATTATAATAGAAAGATCATCCACAAAATATATTAGCGCCAAAAGAGTAGCATTTAACTAGCTATCTAAATAACAAAGAGAAAAATCTTTCACATCCCTCAAAAGCCCTCCTTTCATGACCAGATTGCAGATATTACAGGGGAAATTTCCTCTGCATGGGGTGGATATCAATCTGATGCAAACAAAGTGCTAGGCCAATAATTTGAGAATCTAGACAATCAATGCAGAGAAAAGTTTTAATAGCATTAATCACAGATCATTAGACATGACTCTACAAGTGACACTTCCAGTTAAAATATCATAGTCTAACCATTTCAATTACTAATCTTTTTTTTTTTTTTTTTTTGGTATAGCAAAGAAATGACACTATAATTATCACTATCACTCTGAACAACAAGCTTTTTCTTATGAACAATTACGTGTATAAAGCACACCATCAGTCATTTATCCGCAGGAGGAGGGGGGGGGGGGTTTCAAAAAACATACCTTCCTAGGCCTTGAACCATTTGAAGGCAGGACTCGGCAATCATCCTTCCTACCCAAAAAAATCAAATTAAAAATTAAACAATGCCCATGAAATATAACATGCATTTCTTCCATTCAACTCAACTGTTTGAGGCAATAAGGGCAGATGAAATTTATATACTCAAGGATTCATGTGAAGAGGCTACCAGGTTGAAAACCATGCCAAAATGCTAATATGGTATATCTTATATGACATTGATCTTAGATTAATTCTACACACAAACTCCAAGTGCAATTTGTATTTATTATGATTATTAGATCAGATCGCTTAAAATTTTGAAATCAAATAATATAAAAATCTTCACGAGCAAATATTCTTGAAATGTGTTTGGAAAACATCGTTTTTCGATGAGGTATGGTGTCCAATATTTTTATGGGTACGAAGAAAAAGCATTGTATGCATACAGCACACCTTAATATAAATACACAAATGACACAAGGATAACGCGATGAATGTAAAATGCTTACTTCTTGGAGGAATTGGTGGAGAAATTTTCGCTGTTGTGGTGTAAAAGATGAGCAGAAGAAGCTTTACCCTTTTGATCACCATTAGCAGGTCCACGTCTTTCTCCATTAAGAAAGACGCTGGTAGCACATTGAAAAGGCAACTGTCTTGATGATGACTGTATGTTCTGTTTTCTCTTTTTCCATGACCTTCCATTACTTCTCATATTTTGGCGATTACAGTGACCCAAGGTCGTCAATTCTTTATCGAAAGCATTACCTACCCTACAATCTGTCTGTTAAATAAATAGTTAGGTAACAGCAAAATATGCTATGCAAAGAAAGAAACCCCTAGATATGAATGAATGGCTTGAAAACATAAAGAAGAGCATTATACATTTTCTTCCATCTTTCTACTAAAAATAGTGGAAAATTGGGATTTTGAATTTTTTACTTGAGATGATGCATCCTTGTGTCCAAACCCATCTGAAGCACATACAAAACCCATTTTCAGATACCTTAATTTTTATTTTTATTTTCATAAACATTTAGGAGAGAAAATTGAAGTTAGCAATTCTACTTGAAGCTGTTGAGTTTCTGTGCTTCGCACATTCAGCAACATCCTGTCCAGTAAAAAAAATAGCAACCAATTCATGCGAGAATCAATTTTCAAGACTCAAAAATAAAAATCGAAGAGATTGATGGAAAACCCACTAAAACAATGGAAAACAGACCATTTGGGCAGGGCGACGATGTTTTCTTTGATCAAGCTCTTCTTCCATGGCCTTAATAGTAAATTGAAGCTTCTCTCCTTTGTCAGGCAATGTACGGCCTAACTTCACAACATGAATTTTGTTTCTCTCAATTTGTTCCTCCAGCTTCTTATCGGAGATTGAAGCAAAGTCCTCTCTTTGGCTCAGCGTGGGCTGTGGTTGCAGTTGTGGCGTGTTTTTCACGATCACTAATGGCGGTGGTTCGCCGTCGTCTCTGCCCATGATCACGTCCCAGTTTGAGTCCAGGTCCAGTGGTGTCTTCTTTGACTTCTCTTCCCCCATTCCATGCAATAAAAGTCTGTCTTTTTGTACAACAAATTTGGAGTTTATTTTTTAGGATTTAGGAAAGAGAAGGAGAGGGAGAAGTAATAAAATAAAAAATAAGACGAATGGCTTTAGATTATAAGAGCCGCGATTCTTCCACTCAGGGTCGCTCGAGGTGGTGCTGCTTGCTGCTACGGCTGAAATAATTGGGCTGAGTATTGGAATTTGGATACTATTGGGCTGTAGTTGTTAAACCTCATCGCGTCTGGAGTCTGAACAGCCAAGATCCCGGATTGCCGATTATACGGAACACATTTACTGATAGCAAATAAATAAACTAGTCTATTGATCCGTGCTCTGCTGCAAGTAAGCGGATTGATTTTCTTGAAGCCTCGTAATCTACCTTTTTAATTAATTTAAAGATTTTAATTAAATTGATTGATTTTATAGTTTTAAATATAATTTTAATTATTAATAAAAATATGATTTAGTTTTAAAAAAATTAAAATAATATTTTATATTTTTTAAAAATTATTGAAATAATAATAGATTGACTTGAATTCTATGAATTCATTAAATTTAATAATATTTTTAAATAAATTATTTTTAATTATATTTATAATTTATTTTTTAATTAATTTAATATTAAAAAATAAAATAAAAAAATATTAAAAATAATTAAATGACAAGAAAGAAAAGAGCATATCCACCAAATGGGTGAACTTGTTAAATCTATAAGTTAAGTAATCCGCCAAACTTATAAACCGAGTTATTGATTCTAGTGGGATTATAATTGGTTTTTAAAAAAATAATTTTTTATTTAATTATATAATAACAAAAATAAATGATTGCAAAATCAAAAATCAATATGCTGAAAATACTAACATTATACTCATAGACCTTTTCAATGAAACTAAAGTTTTCATAATATGATAAAAAAAATAACCAAAAAAAAGTTAAATTCAATAAAGAGAGAGATAGATAAAAGACACCACAACAAACTCATTTTGGGTTCATAATTTTTTTCTTAAAGAAAAAAATATAAATTAAAAAAATATTAACTAAGATATTTAATATCATAAAATAAACAATTTACTTGATTGTGTTTAATGAATTTGTTTATTCAAATTAAAATTGAAATAGAAATCAACAAACACATAAAATGTATTGGATAAAATAAAAAAATACTATATAAGACTGGATATATTAAAAATATCATAATAAATAAATATTTTTCATTTCTAAAAATAAATTTAATATATATAAAATATTAAAAAAACTACAAATAAATAATGCAAACCTTTTAAAAAATTAAACAAATTCAATATAATTAAAGACTAATCACTATTTAAAAAAGGATAAATAATTAAAAAAAATTACAGAGAAGTAAAATACAAAATTAAATATTATTTTAAAAAACATATATAAAAAGTTCTAAAAAAAGAGAAAAGCAAAGAATGGGCCAGGCCCAGCGTCTGGCCATTATTTAAAGGACTCGTGTGTAAGCTTGCAATGTCAGGCCTAGTTTAGTGGGCCTTTATGTAAGATAATAGAGTAGATGACATGTTGTTAGTTCCAAATCAATTTGAAAAAAAAATAACGTGTTATTTGGCATACCTAAATTTCAGTCACTATGATGACTAGAAAATCGAGGTGCTTGATTTTTATCCTCTAAAAACTTTTTTGTCATTTATTTTCAATTGAAAACATTTAGAAAGCACCTTCATAACCTTATTCAACCCATCCTTAAACCTTCAACAATGCAAAAAACAAATCCAAAACCAAGAAGCAACCTAGAACCCACTTTATTCCCTAGATTAGATGTAACATTCCCAAATTTATCTCCATAATCAGGATAAAATAATAATTTTATGTTAAAAATAAAAAACACGGTAATTTTTTCATACAGTTTTCACATAAAAATCTATCGGAATTTCAGTAAAGTCTTTCATAAACTAAGAGGTCCTAAGTTATTAACGTATAACTCATTTACACTTCTAATATCCCGCATCTCATTACTGAATCGCGACCCAATTATCATGGATCTTAATCCCACAAATATTATCATCATCTCAACCATAATATCTATAACATATATTGAACAACAAATATCATTATAGAGGGATAAATGACATAAACATGCATTCATGGAACATGGTTATATGAATTATAGAGTTTAGTTTATCTATTCATGTTTAAACATTAAGTATACAAATGTTTCAATATTTACAAAATACAAGATCATCCTCCCTAGATTACATAATAAAAAGTGAAACAAAGCTAAAATCGACTCATGTCATGCATGTGATGATTCTGAAACAAAACAAATATTATTAAGACATAAATATCTCAATAAACATAATAACACAAATACTTGATAATTTTAAAAGGTAAGCATGTATTCTGACACGACTAAAAGATTGATGTCTTCTCCCAAGTGCAGGAGTGTCGAAGTAATAAATAACCCGGAAAGACCGGGGTCGAACCACAGGGAGGTTAATTATACAAATTATAAA